GTTTTCACATTCGTCTCTGTAGCGTGAGAGGTGAGTAACCTTGCAGCTTGTGGGTTCCTTTTCCATCAACCTATAAACGTTTTCTGGGTAAATATCAGGAATACGCAAATAATTCCATTGGCACAATGCCCTGCGAAATCGATTGGGAGGCTATTTAGTTAAAATTTTGCTTTTGAAAGTTGACTTTTAAAAGGCTGGCTCACAGCTGGAGATAGCCCTTATTGAGGTGATAGGGCAGGGATCTGGGCAAGGAACAGCACCAGTGCCTATGATTTCTGACCTTGTCCCACGGGGATATCCTTATATCTCGGGGGTATCAGATAGTCATTTGGAACAGTAAATTACAGACATTTTATAGAAAGCATGTGATTTCAGATAGATGTTGCAGTACCTGTGAAATGAATTGATGAAGTGCTTGCAGAATTGAGCTTTTATGGTATTCAGAGAAACAAACCTGGCCCACTTGTTCAACATAACACAGTGTGGAGCTGAAGGAATACAGCAGGTTAGGCAGCATCAGAAGAACAGGAAAGTTGACAGTTTGACAGTTGAAAGTTGAACAGGGATCTTCTTCAGAAATAGGGAGGGGGAAGGGAGCTTAGAAATAAATAGAGGAGGTGTGAGGCTGGGGAACGTAGGTGGGATGGTGATAGGTGAGTGCAGGTAAGGAGTGGTGGGGATTGCTATCTCCACTTGTCGTTCAAGTTCTGTTTAGAAGAATCTGGTTTTGGTTTAAAACAACAGTTTCATATCAGCAGAAGGGCAATTATCATGTGATGTCTTTAGTTCTTTTAGCAGTGAATGAGAAGGCCTGGAAATGACTCCAAGTTTCTCTTAAAATTCAGTGAAAAGGAATCCAACTCCTCAGAACTGAAAGACATTCAATCTGTTTCAGCAGTCCAAGCTGGAAAGAATCCAGTTTCGTAAAAATTAAAGTTAGTGATGACACTTCACTGGGAATCACTGTACAAGATATTTTTTTATGAGACAGTAGGATTTTTCTTTTGCTATTGATACAAAAATGTTTTAGCTGTATTTTTCCCTGTATGTAACAAACCGGTAGCCTCATATGAATATATTCAGTGCATAACCATCACTTAATCAAGTGCAGAAACTAAACTTAAGATGGGTCTAGGCCCGAAACGTCAGCCTTCCTGCTCCTATGATGCTGCTTGGCCTGCTGTGTTCATCCACCTCTGCACCTTGTTGTCTCTTAAGATCTATTTAGCTTGGTTTCATTCAGAGATCTGCCTTTACCAGTATTACTATGAGCTGGGATCGCAACAATGTTCAGAATAGGAGAAAATGATGAAAAGGTTAATCAGGAGATACAAATTAATATAACAGTGGATAGCAAGTTTCTAATATACACCGAAAGAGAAGAGCAAACAAAACGATTGTTGGTCTTCGAGATGGTGAGAATGGGGATTTAATTGTAGATAATAAGGAAATAGCTGTTTGCTTTGTCTTCACTATGGAAGATATAGAAATCTCAGTCATTACTGTAAAACACAAGATGGAAGACAGCAATGACGTTGGTAATACTACAATCCCCAGAGACACAGTACTGAGCAAACCAATGAGACTGTGAATGGACAAGTCCCCAGGCCCTGACGGACTCCATTCTGGGGTCTAAAAAGAGGTGGCTGAAAAGATAGTAGATGAGTTTGTGTTAATTTTCCAAAATTGACTAGATTGCATAAAGGTTCCATCGAACTGGCAAGTAGCCAATATGATTCTTCTATTCAAGAAGGGAGGGAGGCAGAAACCAGGAAATTATAGGCCACCTCATTTGACATCTGCCTTGATCAGGTGTTAGAATTAAACATTAAAGAGGTAATAGCTGGGCACTTAGAAAATTTAAAGGTAATCTGGAACAGCCAAGTTTTGTGAAAGGTTTAACCAATGTATCGGAATTCTACGAAGGAGAAACACGCACTGTGTCTAAGGGTGAACCTGTTGAGGGTCTCTCCTTGGATTTCAAGAAGGCATTTGACAAGGGGCCTCATAAAGTGTTATGCAAAGTAGATGTTCATGGTGTAGCGAGTGACATACTAGTATGGATAGAAGATTGGCCAGCTTGTGAAAAAGATAGAGTATCCATCAATGGGTCTCTTATTGATTGACAGTGGGGACAACCGGGTTGTACTCTGTGTTTTACAATTCATATCAATAACTTAGGATTTGCATTTCTACAAAGGGGAAAGGAGAATTTTGCTCCTCTGAGAGTTGTGTAACTTTGGAACTCTGCTGCAGAAGGTGGTGGAGGTGAAGGCGATAAATATTTTTAAGGGGAATAAAACTAGATTTTTGTTAGGCAAGGGAATCAATGTGATAAGGAGTAGATGAGAATGTGGACTTTGAAACACAAGTGGAACAACCATGACTTTGAAAAACGACACAGCAGGCTCAAGGGTCAGAATTAGGTACTTTGTGCTCCTAATTTGGAGGAGCTTCAGAATTTTTACCCAGCAACAGTGAAGGATGTCAGGAAGGCTTATAACTTGGAGAACAATTCCCAGGTAGTGCTGATTCCATCAATATTCAGGCTTTGACATTTAAGGTATCCATGGTTGCAGGTTTGGAAGGTGCTATTGGAGGAGCCTAGGGGAGTTGCAGCAGTGCATCTTGTTGACGATGCAGACTGCTACCAATGTACATCAGTGGTGGAAGGAATAAATATTGAAGCTCATGGATGGAGTACAAACAAGTGGGCTATTTTGTTCCGGATAGTGCCAATCTCCTTAAGTGATGAAACTGATTATTTCAGATGAGTGCAGAGCACACACATTCCTGACTTGTGCATTTTCGACGGGTTTGGAAAGATAGGAGGTGAATTACTCAGAGCCTCCATTGTGTTCTTGTAGCTACTGTATTTATGTGGCTGGTCCAATTCAGCTTTTGGTCAATGATGATGGCTAGAATATTAATGGTGTGTGGTTCAGGAATGGTAATGCCATTGAATGTCATGGGGAGATGGTTGAATTCTGCTTTGTTGGTGATGGTTCTTGCCTGTCACATATGAGGAGTGAGAACAGCTTACTATTTATTAGCCCGAGCTTAAATGTTGTACAGATCACGCTGATATGGAGTGTCATCACCTTGTCCTTTTTAATGATTTATGATTATACCCAATGAGCATTGCTGTTAGTGGGCTGTTACTGGAAAAGCCATCTCAATGATTCAGGTGGTCAATACATTACAGTTTGGCACTGAACTATACAGACTAGGAAGAACCAAGTTCCTTTCGCAGAGTTAGTCCTGGGATAGAGACGGTACCAATGATTACTGCAGGAAAATGCATATTTATGTGGGTCAGGCTCAGTCACTGCAGGGTGATCAGTAGCTGTGAATCAAAGAAGGCTCATAGCTCCTGTACAGATCTACAACTGTACTACCTGAGCTAAAGTGGAATTACTAAACTGTCACCTTAACTTTTCTACTTTCCAGAGGATGGGTCTATACGAGACAATTCCAAAACATCTGGATAAATTTATTTTTGATGAACTCCGCCCTGACCAGCAGTTCCAGGATCAAGTGGGCGTGGCCATTGACAAGATCTGCACTTTTTTAAAGGAACAATGTTTCTCCGGTTACAGCTCCATTAAAATCATTAAAACGGTGAAGGTGAGTCCAACAGAATATCCAATGCTTCAGGAATTAATGCTGAAAAGAGCCTCCTCAGGGGAAAATAACTCAGGCGCTTTTAGTGAGTTATGAAATCATTGCTCCAATATGGCACTGAGCCATTTAGTCCAGATTGGTTCTGGATTGTTGCTTGGTTACACAACCTTGCGTAGAGCAACAGGGCTGTAACTATTTCTCTCATTTTCCCTTGGCTCAGGATAGGAAGAATCATGTCAGATCAAGGCCATTTTCAATATCCCCTGCTACTAAATGTATCTGTTGATCAACCTCAGGCAAGGCACTCACTCTTGCAGTACCAAGTAAGCTGGTAAGATCTATTGCTTTAGTCCATGCATGAAAATTGACCTTCCAGTGAGATTTCTGAGTGGTACCGAACATGAAAATGAGAAGGAACACACATTGTGCAAGATGCTGCTGTCAAGCCAAAAGATCTTTTGCCTACCACACAAATAAGTGATGTCACATGAATTTTGGTACCAGTGTGATGCCAGTACATGGGCCATATGCCTCAATCAAAGGCAGCCCCTTTGCAGCGGGCAGCATGACAATCGATTTCAACTAGCCCATGTTTGCAAGCCTCAGAGCAGCAAGTCCAACATTCGATATGATTCTGCTGTTGGATGTCATTTATTAAAAAATTTGGAGTGTATTGAAATTACATAGGAAACCAACTTAAGATTATCAGTGTGTGAGTCATGTGGCTGTGCTCCAAGCTGTATATATTAATGCACAGGGCTGTTTTATGTCGGCTAATGGAATTCAAACATGCATTGCACCTTTTTCACAATAAGAAAATAGGTCATGGTGATGACTAATCATTGTTTTGTCCAAATCACAAAACCCGACCAATCATTACCACTGCCTGGCCTGAGAATTAAGATTGACAATTAACTGTTCTTGTTGCATATCCACATCAATGATGGCACAATCAAACACCCTCTTCTCATGCTGTATAAATTGGTGTCCCTTTTTCTCAAGTCTGTTTCTTGTGTCTTGTTCTGATCAGTACAGGACAAGAAGCTCTGGCGAACTCCAGATTTGTTCTACTCTTAATATGATGAAATGTATCCTGGTTTCATTCCTAAGGGGCCTACCTCTAATTTCTACTTTGTCCTGGATTAACCAATGGTTATAAAATTTCTGCATCTACCTTACCAAATCCCAATGGCATCTGAAACATCTCAATTGGATTGTCCCTCAACCTTCCCAACCCAAAAAGCAGAACTCAGAATTCAATGTACCAGTTCCTATTTCAATGCTTGGGATTGGCTCAGGCAAAAAAAAATGGCAATTGTGGGCCTCAATCACAGTACACAGCTCTGATGAATAAGATTGAATTTCAGGTCGAGCAAGTGACTGGATGATGACTCCATGCTGATTTTTGCAGTAGTGTGTTTTCCTAAACATTCTCTAAAAGGTCATGCTGCTATTTCATCTGTCTTTGCAGGGTGGTTCCTCTGGGAAAGGGACAGCTTTAAAAAATCGCTCGGATGCAGATTTGGTCGTCTTCATCAGCCAGTTCAAAAATTTCCGCGACCAGGAGCAAAACCGGGGTGAAATCCTGACAATAATTCGGAAGATGCTGAATGAGATCAGGAAAGAAATTGCATTCGAAATCAACATGACAGAGCCCCGAATGATTACCTTACCATCTGGCCAGACCTCATCTCCTCGCTCCCTGAATTTCAGTTTTCAATCCACTGAGCTTTCTGATTCTGTAAAGGTTGATGTACTCCCAGCATTCGATGCTTTAGGTATGAGTCGTTGAAAGAAAAATGGTTGGGTGGAAATTAGTTGTATTGAAAGGAAGTTTGACGTTTATATCCATTCAGCTTATTTTGCTGTTTGCCCACTCCATCCCCTTGCTCACCCTCACCAGGTCTGCCCTGCTATGATCTTTATCTTATGCCAACCCCATTGGCCAGCTTTGTGAAACAGCCTTCAGTGGGATTCATTTATATATTTCCACGTGTAGCCGTTTCATCTCAGAAATGGGATCCATTGTTGGCCCATCACTTTCCCTGGTGTAAAGCTAGGCGGTCAACCAAGGTGCATCTTGGGTAACGACTTGCACCAGGCTGCCAGGAAGTTTGCGGGGAAGGGGTCATTCAGGCCTCCCAGAAACATTCAACACCAGCTTCCTTTGTAAATGAATTCCATCCATCAAAGAAATATATTCCCATTGGAAGCCCTTTCAAGTATAGAAGTGGAGATGACCATCTGGGTCCAGGCCAAGGAGGTAGCCCATGTCCCCACGATGGATTGCGCTTCTCTTCAAAAGGCCACTATACTACCTCCCATTCCACATACCATATAAGCAGGGCTTACACTTACACTGCCTTTTAAAGAATAGCCCCAAATGCACACTGGCCTGACTGAAATAACTGAGGACCTTCAGCTTCAGCTTGTCTATGTGGGACCCGCATTTCTCCTTGATTTCAAGGTTGCTAGACATATCAGGTAGAATTTCAATAGAGATTGTGCCAATGTCCTGCTGCACTATTCCTCAAATTCCAGACGGAACAACAAAACAGATGTTCTCACTATTTCTCTAATTTTCCTATCAAAGTAATGGTGGGAAACTTGGAAAACTCTTGGGACAAACCGGGCAATGTGCATTAGCAGCATGTTGATTTTATTTCAGCTTTACGGCACTTTGAAGTTTGTTTTTCTATCTGTTCTTCCTTACAAAATGGTCTTCCATCAATTGTTAACAATTTGTCCTGTGTTAACTTGTACAGTACTTGAAAAGTAATCGCCCACTTCTTCACTGTCTCTAAGGTCAGCAAACACGAACCTGCCCAGATGCCAAGGTTTATGTGAACCTGATTATGGCCAAAGGATTTGGAGGAGAATTCTCAACATGCTTCACTGAACTTCAGAGAAACTTTGTGAAGTGCCGTCCAGTTAAACTGAAGGACCTGATCCGCCTTGTGAAGTACTGGTATATAGAGGTAGGAGCAGCGACTGTTGAAGTTTATTTATGTACTGTGAACAAAAACTTGCAAAGGTTTAATAAAAAGAAATGGTACAATTTTAAAGGGGTACAAGAGCAGAGCGACCTGGGTGCACATGTACATATGTCAGAAAGATGGAAGGACAGGACGAGAGCATTGTTTAGAAAGCTCACAGAAAAGTGATTGTGTTGAACTTATGTAAGTCTGTGGTTGGGTATCACCTGGAGTATTACATCCATCTCTGGGAACTGCATTATAGGAAACTGTGAAGGTATTGGAGAGAGTGTAGAAATTTTGGATGAGAGTGGTTCCAGAGATGAGAAACTTCAGTTATGAAGATGGATTGAGCAGTTGGGACTGCTTTTCTTGGAGAAGAGAAGGCTGAGAGGAAATTTGGTGGAGGTTTAAAAAATCACGAGAGGTTTAGACAGAACATATAGGGAGAAACTATTCCCACTTGTGAAAGGATTGAGAATCAGGGGACACAGATTTAAACAAATTAGCAAAAGAAGAAAAGGTGATGCAAGGAAAGTCATGTTCACGCAGAGATTGCTTAGGATTTGGAATGCATTGGCTAAAAATATGGTGGAGGCAAGTTCATTTGAAGTATTCAACAGGAAG